AAGAGGGAGGAATGGGAGAAGAGGGAAGCAGCTACGTGTCGGGCCCGCACCCCAAAGAGAGAGAGGTGAGGGAGAATGGGAGACCGCCACGTGTCATGGGCTCCGCCAAGAGAAAGGAGGGAAGCAGAGAGAAAGAGAGAGGCAAACACGTACGTGGAAAAAGAAAGAGGGGGGAAGAGGGAGGTGTGGGAGAAAGGGGAGGTAGCCACGTATAGGACCCACCTCCCTTTCTCTCTCGATGGCTAGAGCCTAGGGCTGAGGGCCCCACAGTTATACTATATACACAGTAAAAAGGGAGAGAAAGAAAAAAGTGGGCCCCACATTTAGTGTATAGAGTAGATAGTGGCAGGGGAGAGAAAGTGGGCTATGTGTCGGGCCTATGTTCCCCCCTTCCGCTTTAAAGTATATATCTCAATTCGAATTAGAGACTTGAGCTCGAACTCGAGTTGGGCTCGAGTCAAAAGCTTGGAAGTTCGAGCTTGGCTACTTTGATTGCAGGTCTCTCAAGCATCTGAGGTGCCGAGCCGATGTCTCCCTCAATTGCCGATGTGCCAAATCGAGGTCTCCCTCAGCTCCTGAAGTTTCGAACTAAAGTTTCCCTAGTAGGCAAGGTGTCGAGTTAAGGTCTCCCTTAGTTGACAAGGTGTCGAGTTGAGGTCTCCCTCAGTTGTCGAGGTGCTAAGCCAAGATCTCCCTTAGTGGTCGAGGTGTCGTTTAGCTTGAGCTCGATTTGAATTAGAGACTTGAACTTGAGCTCAGAAGTTCGAGTTTAACTTGGCTCAAAACTCAATTACCTTTGATTGCAGGCCCCCTAGCAACTAAGATGTCGAACTAAGGTCTCCCTCAGTTGGAGAGAGAAAGTGACATTATTGTAATTTATAAGGAGAGAGAGATAGATGGCATTCTTGTAATTTGTGTGTGTGAGAGAGAGAGAGAGTGTAGCATTCTTGTAATTTGAAAGAAAAAAAATAGCAAAAGAGAGTTGGTAGAGAGTGACATTGTGATTTCTATGAAAAAAGGCAAAAAATAAGATTAGATTCCATTTCCCTTATCCTCAGGCCTTCTTACGTACACATTTCAACTTAATATATTTATTAGCAGAGGGGGCCCTGCACTGCAGGGGCTCGCTCATAAACTATTAGGCTTGAGCTTGATTCGAATTAGAGACTTGAGCTCGGTTCGTGTCAAACGCTCAGAAGTTCGAGCTCGGCTACCTTTAATTGCAGGTCTCTTAAGCAACCGAAGTACCAAGCCAAGGTTTCGAGCCGAGGTCTCCTGCAATTGCCGAGGTGCCAAATCAAGGTCTTCCTCAGTTGCTGAAATGTCGAGTTGAGGTTTTCCTAACAGGCAAAGTGTTGAGCTAAGAACTCCCTTAGTTGACAAAGTGCCGAGTTGAGGTCTCCCTCAGTTGTCGAGGTGTTGAGTCGAGATCTCCCTCAGTGACCGAGGCACTGAGCCAAGGTCTCCCTCAATGGTCGAGGTGTCGTCTAGCTCGAACTCAATTCGAATTAGAGACTTGTGCTTGAACTCGAAAATTCGTGCTTGGCTCAATTCGAACTCAACTACCTTTGATTGCAGGTACCCTAGCAGCCAAGATGCCGAACTAAGGTCTCCCTTAGTTGGAGAGAGAATGGAATTCTTGTAATTTATAAGGAGAGAGAGATGGCATTCTTGTAATTTGTAAGAAAAAGAGAAAGAGAGTTAATAAGAGAGTGGCATTCTTGTAATTTGAAAGAAAATAACAAGAAAGAGAGGAAGAGAATTGGTAGGAGAGTGGCATTCTTATAATTTGAAAAAATAAAATAAACAAAAGAGAGAGAGTTAATAGAGAATGACATTCTTGTAATTTCTATGAAAAAAGGCCAAAAATACTGGTAGATTCCATTTCCATGACCTTCTTACGTACACATTTCAGCTTAATATATTTATATAGAGATAGATATTTGTCAGTTATTAATTTACTAATATTATTTAAATAATAAATAAGTTGGCTGGTCAATCTCATAACTCATTTGGCCTTGTATTAATGCATTTTGTATGTATTTGTATCATACATATTTGTATTTGCACTCTTTCCAAACTGAGCTTTTTAGAGGTACAATTTGGTTTGTAGTCAGACCAGATAAACATAAGCCAAAAAAACATGCTTGAGTTCAAGTTGGAGACCTTGATACAAATGGAAATGTCAGAGTTCTTGCATAAATTTTAATTAACAAAGCCCGTGCCATACCAGACCAAACATGAGAGTATTTCATGTATCATGTTTTTTATCACTCATCGGCTCCTATTGTTCCCAAAAAAATCCTCTCTCTGTTGGACCTCTATTTTAACGTTTACCGACAGGTGACAAACCCTGCATTCACCTTTGCATTTCTTTTAAACCGGGCTCCGGGGAGGGCCGAAGCGGGGTGTCTGGTCTCGATTTTCAGTACTCTGAGAGTTTTTACTTACTCTTCTAGTCTCGATTTTCAGTACCCTGAGAGCTTTTACTTGGTCTTTTGTACACTAATTGATTTATTCTTCACTTCTCTAGGCTCTACCCAAGTCTGACCACCGGAATTGACTCGAACAGGCTCCTTTCCTCGGTCAACTTGTGGAGCGCTAAATCACTGCCAAGATTTTATTGCTGTTGGGGCGATTTAATGTTCTTTAGAAAAAGGACGTCTTTGATTTATATCCCCATACATGGCTGGAAGAAACAAACTACGGTGCCAAAGCAAATAGAAGAAATTCTTCTGAAATTTTTCCAGTTCTGTTGATTTGCAATTAGAACCTCCTTTCCTGTTTCACGTACAACTTCACAAACCAATCCTCACTTCTAGACCTTTGAGATACAAAATTCCAGTTGTATTTAACCAAGACTTGCCCAGCACTAGTGTTCTATTCACAGTTTTTGTGTGCATAAAGAGGGAAGAGCCACAGAATGCAAAACATGCTGGGACTCTGGTGTGTTCAAAGATTTGAAACAAACTCCATGACATATATGGTCTATACCAGGTCGGTGTGGGTGTGGTTGTCACATTTACGTTTGCATTGCAGCTGTGAGAGGTACCTCCAGCTCCAACGATTCCCACAAGACGGTAATTCATTGCATCAAGGATGATGAATACTATTTTGCAAGGGAAAAGAACAATATTCCAAGAACACTATTATCAACAAAATAGCATGCACGAGATGAGAAACTGCTCACCTCTTAACAGTGGGGGGAGCTCATTCCTTGCGGTATCTTGCCCAGAACCCCTTTCTTGCAGAATCACTTGCTGACAAGGGTCTAGTGGTCTTTGAACCAAGGGAGAAATGCCGCCTTAGGAAAGGCCCCCCAAAGCTCTTCATGCCGGAACTGGTTCCCATTTTGGGACCTTTCCCTTCCTTTCCGGCACTTTTCCTATGGTCAGACACAATGAAATTGTCATCAAGATCGCTATCCACAATCCTGTTCTTTGATACCCTATAGTTTTTCAATTTCAAATCTGCCTCCATCCTCGATGCTTTTCCAGCTATCTTCAAGATCTGCTTCTCCCCAGCCATACATACAGGGCAAGATGGGTCATACCTATCAGTTTCAGGTGTCATGTTCTCCAAGCACTCTGCATGGTACACATGTCCACATACCAGAATGGCAACCACAGAGAGCTCATTCGTGGCTATGATTTTCTGAGTGCTCCATGAAGATCTCTCAGTCAAAAGCTTTGAGCATATTCCACACGTTTGCAGATCAGTGGAAGGAGAAGCCGAGCAGTGGCTGTTTGATCTTGTTATCTTACCATGGCCATACCCCAGGGTGTCACTGTCAAAAGACCACCTTTCTCTCTGAGAAGAGGCCACAAGTTCTGAAAAGGTGCGCATAGACCAACCATCTGAAGACCCACCATTGGAGCTCATTGTTAGGTCATTGCTGCACATGGAGAGAACAAATGATTGTCTTCCTTCAGAAACCGAATTGTTGTTTGGTGACTTGAATCCCAGGATTCGGCTATCAGAGACCTGTCTAAAGAGCTGGTGTCCTGGTGAGCGGCGGGCTTGCCGTAATGGCATTGAGTCAGCATCAGCATGGCTTTCTGAAAAAGAATCTGCTTTGGAAATAGATGAAGAGGAAACTGAAGGTACAGAAAGCGAAAGCTCCAGCAGTGAAGGATTAGCAAGTGTTGTAGATTCTGTAGAATGCTTCACCTAATAACAGGTGCGAAGATGCAAAAATGTCACCGAATACTCTTAAAAACAGGAGCCATGGGTTAACACATAGGAAATGCTCTTCTATTAAAGTTTCCTAATTATTTCTTACTGACCTCGGTAGAGAAGTTGCTTCCTATGGATAAATCTGTTCAAATCATAAACAAAGACGTTAAATGCAACAGAAAACATGTCTCTTTACAAAAGATTGCAAGTTACAATCTCTTTTTTGTTTTAGTTGAAAATAAGATCATATTCTCATTCAGTAGTCACCCAAATGTAACCCGACAAATCACAGGATGATTCAAAATCAAGACATACATGTGAGTAGTTGTTTATCTAATATGTATTGCTTCTTCAGAAAAGCTGCCCTACAATTTTTGGGTACCTGGATTCCTACAGAATCTCCAACAAGAATCTTTTTCAGGCATAATATAATTTACTCCCCCCACCCACAATGACCATCCTCTTTGAGGAAACCATATTTTTAGGACACAGTCACTAACACTTGTCTCATTTAAATATGTTTTTCAATATTGCCATCTTGTTGGATGAGAAAGAAAATTTAAAGGCTGTTGTTAATGTGGTGAAGCAATGACTAGTAGTTTTGGCCTCCCTAGTAAATGTGGATACTAGTCACCACAAAAAAGATGTATCCAAAATTAAGATATTAATGCAATCTCAAATATATGGTTAATATAATAGAACATCTAACTTACGATTTTGTTTTACAGACATCAAAAAGCAAGGCTAGATAGGCTGATATGGGTGAGTTACAATCTGTTTTTCAAAGAAAGGGTGCAACATTGACCATTTGATGTCAGCCTATTATTTTCCTGGATGCCTGGACTGCTAAAGTGATTTATATAAAAACTCTTAGGTTTGTTAGAATAAACTAACACCAGTGATACATAATATTTTGTACTTGGATGTAAATGTTCAGCTGTTTTTTTCTTTCTTTTGATAGTAAGGTAAATTTTCATTGATAAAAGAAATTACAATACAGATGAAGAGGCTTTACCTTAAGCAAAACTACAACAACCTCTTACATAAAAGGGAAAAAGAAGAAAGAAAAGAAAATACAGATAACCAGATCATCATCAACCAAAAAACCTAAATGAATCTCTGCCAATAATCATATCTTCAAATTCAACTGATTTTATGAATATGCCACTTTCTTATTTACCACAACTACACACACATGCACATTTCTTCACAGTTTCTGAGTCTCTACTAAGATACACATATATAAAGGAATCAGTAATTCAGTAGTGGGGTACAACTCTCCATTTCCTGAGACCTAGGATATGAATGTGATTATCCCACATAATATGCTTATACTTCTTTTATGTTAACTTTTAAACTAACGGACCATTTGATACGGCTTAAATGGCTGAACTGAATGATATTTTGTCTTCTAGTGGATATAAAAATTAAATAATAAAATATTTGAGGGTGTAGTAATTGACCCAACTTCACCTTCAACCATTAAGGAACTTACAACCTCCTGGGTAAACTTATTTACTAAAAGACAAAGCACTAATTCATTCAGTTCAGCCATAGCTGTTATCAAACAGCCCAAAGTACCATTTTCCAATACTTATTTTTTCTAAATTTACTTAAAATTTCCAATAGTACGATTAGTTAGAACCATCTTACATATTTTAGAAGTGATAATGCTATAAACATGTTCAACACACATGCCCATGAAATATCAGGTGTTGTACTGGGTATGTGTCATGTCCAAATCCAACACATGCACACTAGGAAGGCATAGGTATCTGGGCATTACAGACCTGTGCAGTTTTAGGTAACAAAAGAAGAAAGAAATAAAGAAAATTTTAGTGCAAGTTCTGACTAATCTTTGAGTGAATGTGTGACTCCCAGCCAAGGATATCACAACATGTGGATCAAACAAGAAAAATGGTGTAAGGTTCAAGAGGTATATCATTATCTTCTCAAGCTTAAATGAATACCATTACCACTAATGACTAAACTAAATATTTCCATTGTTAGGATCAGGAGGCCGAGGGGTCATTGTATTTGGGAGAGCTTGAACAGATGCACTCTTAGAGAGTAGCATACCTAGTGACCATAGTTGTCAATGCCTCTAGGCAATTCTGAGCAATAGTAGGGTGCCTAATGCCTAGGTGATAAGAATTTTATAAAATAAAGAACTAACTTTTGGCTAGTTCCCTAGTTTTATATACCATTCAGCATGCATGTTAATTGAAAAATAGCAATTAAGAACATTAAATTTCCTCTAAAAACATAGCGAATCATCATATCTAAGAGATAAAAATATTTTAAATATATTAATTTCAATATTTTCAAAAATAATTATTATGATCATAAGTATTTAAAAAGCAATTTCATATCAATTAGAAATTAAAGAAGGCTATAATTTTTTTATCATAATTAAAGAAGGCTATAATTTTATATGATAAAATTTTAAGATAGAAAGTAAAAGAGAAAAAAAAAAACTGCTGTTTTGTTTAATGTCAGAGAGAGAGAGAGAGAGAAGAAAAAATCAAAGAAAAAAAGAAACCACTTTATATTTCTATTGTCCTTCCTTTTTCTCTTCTCAAAACCCTTTGACCTTTTAAATTTCAATAGTAAAACTTTAAAACAAAGTATGGACTATACATTTAGTATATAATAGAATGTTTTAACAGAAACATTAGTAAGAAAAAGCAATATGAATGATATTATAATAAGGCGTCTGCCTTGTCATTTTTGTTCTTAGCAAAAGGAATCAACCCCACAGATGGGAGGAAGTTATTGAATATTCATATGGATCAAACATGTCAAGTCTTTCTTATCCCCATTAATAGTAACTAGATGGTCTTGACTCTTAAATTACCCAATGTTAAATCTCAGTTATCTGGTAGTCCCACTGGAATGAGTCTTCAGCAGGAGAGAAAGGGGGAAATGCCTTCTTCCCCATCTTTTTTCCTAGACCTCAGGTTGATTTTATCCTTCAGTTTGATGGCAGTTGCAGAAGCTTGATGAGCCACAGGGGTCAGGCTGGGACAGGGAATCGAATTATTAATTCCAATGGTGATCTGATTTGGATCTTCAGTGGGCCGATTGGAGAGACAGATGCTGCAGAAACAGAAACCTGTGCTTGGTTGGTGGGTCTGAGATCTGCAGTCGCTGACAACCTTACAGAGGTAGTGGTGGAAGGGGAGTCCAAAAATGTGATCTGCTGGATGAAGAACTTATAAGAAGGTCCTTGGACATTTAATTACATATTAAATGAGATCAAAGAAATCTTGTCTTTTTTAATGTGTCATTTTAGATGGATTCTAGAGAGCTGAAAGTGTAGCTGACAGTTTGGCTAAATCTGGAGTGGGAGTTTGTCTTTTTTTTTTTTTGCATAGTGACTCCTCAATGCCTCTGTAAATTCGAGGATGATCTTTTTTTTTTGGTTTTGGTTCTGCTGGTATATTGCTTGTAAATTTTCTCATGTACATCCTCTTCTTTTTTTGGCAATGAAAGTTACCCTTTTCTCCAAAAAAAAAAAAAAAAGAAAGGGAGGAACTAATTGATCTTGGAGCTACTTACTATCACAACATGTGCAGAGGAAAGAAACCAATACCAAATCATTGAAATAAACAAAAAAGAAAAGAAAAGAATAGATTAGCCAAATGTAAAAAAATGGAGTGCAAATATTAATATCTAACAAAAAGGATTTCTACTTAGCATTTCAATTACAGTAACGAGTTCAAATAAACGGAAAATGCTAAAATCTCAAAGACAGATTAAGAATAATGGAGATAAAACACTTGAAATCTTACAAAATGTAAGAAAGAATGCCACTAGTATACCAAATGGTGCATGTGGAATTTGTATAGAGTAATGCAAGAGCTCCAAGCCTTCCATATGAGAATGATAAAAATTGAACACTCCTATAACATCTTGGTATTGTAACTTCACATGGCAACTACTCATAAAATGATTTATCCCAAATTTTTAATCATATTTTTGGGTAACAAAGTTGTTGAACCTATGAGCTCAGGGTTGTAAAATGCAGGAACAGTCGAACAGCAGTAGGCACCCCAGAAGGTTTTCCTTCAATACCTTTGCATCCAAGCAAAATATACAAAGTAGGGAAAATAAGAAAAAAATGAACTCAAGTAATAGAAAAATCCAGATTTCTACAATTAATCTAGATTGATCCCATGTCCAAAATATAATAAAAGAGAATGGATGAACAGTTAAAACCTACATTACAACCAACTTACCCAAGTTTTACCAGGGAAAATATTTGAAGTTAAAGGGAAAGGGAAAAAAGAAAATGAAAGAGCCATGATATTTACCTGAAGTAGGAGTCCTCAAACTCCCAGTAGTTCCTTCATGAACTGGGGACTTTTGCCACATGGGTGTGTGGAAAGTCTCCGTTGGACTCCCACCATCTGAAACATGTTCTGTTTCCATATCTCTTTGTTCCTTCATCTCCAAACCTACGTTTCTACTGATTCCATGAGGAAATTGATTGATGGGATTCTCCACTTCACCTGCTACACGCCCTCGGTTATCCCACCGAAAGCTCCAAGAGGGTGAATACCTAAGATTGCTATGCAAAGTTTCACTGTCAGTTCTCTTTGGTAGAGCCCTCTCCCTTGCAGCAACACAACAGGTTGACCCCATCCTTGCTCATATATGAAAATCTACCCAGACATTAAGAAACGCATAATTGGTCAAGGAGTGTTAACATAAATTTCCTCATGCCAATGCTGTAGAAACATATTAAGATCCGAGATTTCAAGCTGTCTTTCTTCCTGATAGGTAAGGATGCCAATTGTGCCTGTCAAGAGTAAAAGCACAGGATATATCAAAGCGGTTGATCATTTTATGTATATTTTAATTATAAATCGCTCTATTCAAGTACTTATCAAATACATAATTATTAAAAAGTAAAAAAGGAATGATAATTCAACCCTAGTCATTAACTTAAAGGGTTAAGGTCTATCAGATTTGCTAAATTAAAAGAAAAAAAAATAACAAAAATGTTATCAGAATAAACAATCAAACATTTTCACGATTAACTTGAAAGACTCAAAACTCGGATAAAGCCTAAAGGGACTGGAATCATGGGAAGATGGAAAAGAACAAAATTTCGACTATCCTCAAATAAGAAAGAAACGCCTCCTATGCTTTTAGGATGTAAACTTCAAAATTATAAACACAATCATCAAAGAAAGTAAGCAACTAGACTCTCTCACTAAATGAGATGCAGAGAATCTACTGTGGTTCGGAGTTACAAATCAAAACCCTTAAAGACAACCTCCAAAGTATACAAAACCGACTCCAAACACAGAAAGAAAAGAGCAAACATGATCAATAGCCAAAATTAGTAAAGCAACCAGAACACTAAAAGCACAGTTGCTAAAAAAGAGACTCTTATTCTCAACGGAGGAGAAAAATCATATCAGCTGCCTAAAACAAAGAGGAAACCTGCTTCCAAGTCGAATTTCATCAGTGGTATTGTGGTAGGTTCACGACAACTGCATAATTTCGTCGTAGGCAATCCAGTTAGAAGCAAAAGCCCAAAGTATAGACAATTAAAACCAAAGAGTCTATGTCAGCAACAGAAATGATAGTCAAATCCGTCAGATTAATAAAGCTAGGTTCATAAATTCCATTGAAGACTTATGGGAATTCAAGACCCATTAAAAGAGAAAATTTCGATAAAGAAAAAAAAAATACCAATTTGAGCAACTAAAACATTAAATACCCTTATCGTCAACTTAGAGAGAAAAGCCCGACGAAAGAAAAGAATAAGCAAACACTGATCAACAGTTCACAAAACCAGGGAAAGAACAAGACCAAGGAGCTATACCTAGAAGCCAATTTCATGTGTTCCTTTCATAGGTCTTAAAGCGAGTTTGATTCAAAATCCCCAAAACATGAAGAATCTTACTGCTCCTGTGTCAAAATCAAATGAAATTCGTGGCGGAAAACACCGTAAATCACAGTGGAGTCGGAAATAAACTAGAGTTTTTAGATTCGACGGACGAATTTCTGTCTGGTTTCGAACACTCAAAAGGTGAATCGTGTTAAGTACAGAGCCGAACTCCTATAAAACAGAGAAAACCTGAAACTTGAAGTGAGCATATCGTACCTTTCCCTAGGGTTAGCGTTTCCAAATTCCAAGCGAGGGAGCGACAGAGTCACAAGCAGAACAGACGGAGAGAGATAGAGACAGATGTCTTTCCTTGTTCTTCTGCCTTCAGCGTGGTGTAGGAGAGAGAGAGAGAGAGAGAGAGAGAGTTTTAAACGGAAGCTAACTCCGTCAGAAGTTGTTAATTTCCACCTAGTACGGATGCTGTTAGATTTGACGGAGTTGAAGGGGCGTGCGTGGCACGCTCGGTGGATTTTCATTTTCCACGTCGGATATATTCGACTGTTCGCTACCTTCTTTCTTTTATATAATTTTGTGCTTTTTTTCTTTTAATCACGACTGGTTCCTTCTGCAGCACGCTGAGTGCGTAGTACGCACTCGCTCTTTTTAGGTGCTGTTTGCTTTTAGGTTCTTAACTTTTTTTTTTCTCTATTTTTTTTTTAGGTTTTAACTTTTAACCTAATGACAAAGTATTATATACTATTATGCATTATCAGTCATGCCCATGTCCATGAGCCCATGCCCAATTATAATACTACATCCCTACTCTCCTTCCCTCTTGGGCTAGTGGGCCTTGGTCAAGTGCCGAGGATGATTGAATTTTGAATGAAAGTCTATTACGCTAGATCGTACATTAGCTCAACCAAACAGATAAACAATTATATACCTTATCTTCCCCGGCAGCCCACAAAAGACGGGCGAAGACCCCCAAAGTCATTTTAGAAATTTAATTAAGGAAGGGGATGGGGGCCCGCAAGTCCTTTCCTCCAATCTGTGGGCCTTCCGTTTCATTGATATTTTTGACTAAGAATATGGGCGTTAAAGTTTGGGCAATTGGGCTTCTAGGATAGCCAATCCATGGTTTGGGCTTGGGCCTCGGAAGGTGTAGAAGAAGGACCGAAATGGGATAATCATTCATTCACATTCAACAGTCCCTGATACCCATTCGAATTGATTGATTGAGTTTGAGGGTAAAAAAAAAGAAAGTGAAGTTATTATTAATATAATGAAAGGGTAAATTGCAGATTACCACATTTTACTTTAGGGGGTAGTAGCAATTAAGTAATTAACCCTGAACTTTTATATTAACACAGAGACCCTTCTCCATTAAATTGAATGATGGAAAAAATTTTATCAATATACCTACTTGAAAAACTTGTATAAAATGGAAATTGCAATAAAAAAATCAAGAAACTTCTATGAAAACCTGGAATTACAACATGCAATTATTATTAATTAAACTAGTGAGAAATGGAAATAAAAAAAAATACTAAAAAAAGTCATAGAAAAAAGGGTAATTTAAGAATTTAGAAAAAATTAAGCAGTCATATGATGAGAATCTTTTTTTAAAATTAATAACAGAATGCTAAGGGGAATTTTTGTCAGAATCTGAAAATTTAAGAGATCTTTGTTGCAAATAAAAGTTCAGAAGACAGTAAATAGTGGCTGAGGTGACTTGAATGAATGAAGGAATATATTATATTCCCACAAACACAAAGTTTGTGGCCTGTGGGGATATATGATATATCCTGTTTGTTGTATGTCTGAAATCCAAACCAACTATGGACAGAACGAATCTCCTGAAAGAAAAATAAAATTGGATAAGGTGGAATAATATATTAAGAGTGTGGAGGCCCAGGTTTCATTTCCCTAACTCTCTTGCCTACTTCAACAAAGCCATGCTTGGAATTTGCTTCAAAATCAAGATTCTTTTGGGCAGAACTTGGCAAGCTCGAGATTGGGGCCTGGGGGTTGGTAATTAATTGTCACCCACCTACACGAATCGAATCTGGAATCTGGAATCTGGATTCCCACGAAACTGTTGTGTTGTGTTTAGAAGTCTGAGACCTCACACCCAAGACAGAGAAGGAACAGCCGCCTGCTTCGGAATCAATTCTGCCTAGCTAGGGGGAAGCTATGACCATGACTACTGAGAATATCTCTCTATCTGCTGGGCTGGAATGATTTGCCCAGAGGAGGTGATATGCTTGCTGATCTTATAAACTAGTATACTGTTAGCTCTTGTATCATGTATGGAAGACTACAGCATCCATACATGTGGAGAATCAAGGGGCCTACCTAAAATGCTGAATCTTTTACGGAGAAGTTGATTTGGTGAAGAGAAAGCAAGATTGGATGAGGATTATAATTTGTTGCTTTATTTTTCAAAATAAAACTTTAAGTTTACTTAGCTAGATTATTGCATTATTTGGTCTTGTTTCGCATTATGATTGCAATTAGGGGGAGCATAGATGGTTTGATTCAATTTCAAATCAAAACTTGAAACCTACCTTGTAATGTCAGTTCTACGGTTTTAGAACAAGAGCCTACCCTGTCAATATCAGTTTTGCTCTTGGCAGTATGGGTGTCAATGGACCAGTTTTGTACTGGATCCCGTCCAATCCAAAATCAATTTGGATGGATTGGATGGACCAACAAGACATATTGGATTGGATCAATCTGGTTCAAAATATTTATTAAGTTGGATTAGACCTGGTTCATTCGTAACAAATTTATATTGGATTGGGTTGGATTAAGCCAATATATGATCCATTGATATAAGATCAGAATATATATATATATATATATATATATATATATATATATATATATATATATGTCAATGGACCGGATTTGGGTTGAAACCAATCTAAATCAAAATGAATTTGAATAAATTGGACGCTCTAGACATTGAATTGGACCGATCCAAATTGGTTTGGTCCAAAACATTCATTGGATTGGATTGGACGTGGTCCACTTATAATGGACTCACATTGGACTGGATCGGATTGGACCAAATCCAGTCCAATTGACACCCCTACTTGGCAGTTCCAAGATCAAGTATATTCTAGGATCCACCCATAGAACATGTTCTTTAGAATAATAATAATAATAATTTTCTTTCAAAGCTTTGGCCTTATATAACAGTTTATCATGGACATTCCATATTTCAAATCCACATACTCATTCAATCTCAAAGAAATAAAACATAATCCATTTAAACAAGGAACAAGTTAATTAAGGTGTTATTTGGCAAGTCTTTTTAGATTCCCACAATTTAGATGGCCAAAAGATGTAATGAGCTTTTGAGGTCTTGCTTTAAAGTCATGATCTACATATTTATTAAATGAGAGATTTTAAGTGCATGCTTCGTTACCAATGGAGAATGACCAAAATTTAATCTTCTAAACTCTGAAAAGCCTGAAAGACTACATGAAAAGACTTACCAAATACCTCCTACGTTACAAAGAAATATAATGTTACAATCAAGGCCACAGTCGAGTAAGATACGTAACCCATAAAACATAATGCCATACAATCTACTAAGGTTAAGTAAGCCGGTTCTTCAGGTCAATTTGGGTAATTCCCCAAAACCCTGGAACTGGCTTGGGTTTCAAAATAGAGTGGCCACTCATTCATAGAAAAGGTTAATTTATCAGCTTCAATTATTTTAAAAAAAGTTTGATGAAGATAAATTAACTTGGCTTGGATAAGCTTCAGAATTTGTGTTTACAAAACCCCACTTTAAGAGCTTCATTTTTTGGGGTAAAAAGTATTTTAACTTTATATATTATGTATGAAAAAGGGAAAAATCTATGATACTAGTTGTAAAAGTTTTCCCCGTACAATGTGTTTCCAGTTCATCAAATGCTTCCAATACTTTTTGTCACATATTTTGTTTACCACGCACAGCCCAAAGCTTAAAAGCATCCAAGCAAAGACTTAGGGATCAGTTTGAAAAAAAAAAAAGTACAAATGGCAATATGTACAGTGCAAATAAATATATAAGGTTAAAAAATACCATTAAATATACAACATTTTGCACATTTAAATTCTTCCCAAACTGAGCCTTAACAACAAGAACGAGATTATTATGTTTCGTCTCAATGACATTATTCCATTCCATTACGTGCTTGGCTGACCTGAGATGTTTGTGTGGTAGGTTGGACTCTCAAGTCTCAAGGTTTCATCTATAATTAAGTTGTTTTGGTCACCCACTTGATGTCAACACAACTAACAGCTAGCAAATTAAATCTGGTTGGTTCTCCCAACATCAGGAGTGCATGAGAACCGAGGGAGGATTCAGGCAACGTCAAGCGGACTGAGATTTTGGGTCGTTTTAGTTTGGAAAAACAAAACTACTTAACGCTAATGGTAGGTACATTACTGGTTAATTATTAGTTCTGGTAATTAGAGAATTAATGGCAAAAGTTAAGATCTACTCATCTAGACCTGATCATGTTTACAGTTACATTGATTTTACCTAGAAAATTCTGTTCTGTGATTCATTTCAACTGGTCTATAGAGTCCAAATTTGGTGCGACGGAAGAGTGCCAGAACTGTATTTGCTTGAGATGGGATGAATCTCTTATGATATCGTTTTATTTTAATAACCAAAGGTATATAATTTTGAAGATTAAACCAGTGTGCATATTCATTGATTTTGGCTGCACGCTGCAAGTTAAATTCAAATGTCAACCAATCACATTAAAGATGTTGGGATGTTGTTTTAATTATTTTTACTATTTTAAAACTGATAATATCAGTTCATTTCGATTCAATTTTAATTCATAATTATAAAAATCGATGGTATCGATTCGGTTTAAAAAAAAAAAAGAAAAAACCACTGAACCGTGAACACCCCTATCACCGTCAACTACCAAGCACATAAAAGAGGCATAAATCCCGTGGTCAATAAAATTTCAAATAAATAACCCATCTGAAACAAACACACCGATTTCCACCCCGGGTCCTAAGCAAAAGACATTGCCTTATATAACGCCCACTTCAGCATATTCAGCATATTCTCTGCTTGACCCAATAATTTTGATGAAAATCAGAACTTGCGCGCAATGAGACTTGATCGAACAACTGAACAAGTTCCGCCTCCCTAGCTGCTTTCCTTGGATATTAAGAACTACTTTAATTTTCAAATTTTAGGTTCTCCGGTGATTAATTACAAGTAATAAA